GAGCCCACTCATCCTTTCCTCCCAGCATCCCACACTCAGGTCTGGAATTGTCTGTTTCCTTTGGGACACTTAGAGGTACATTTGCTCATAAAACTTCTCGTAAGATATATAAATTTAATGAATTTTAAGTAAAGAAAAACACTGGTTAGAAAAGGTGAATGGGAATAATTTGAGATTCTGATATTTAGGTATGGCTTCAGTAATAAAAATAAGCAAATCCAGAGAACTTTAGGAATTTACAAGTTGATTTCTTGCAGAAATAATGCTTTAGGAATGATTTAGTAAGTACAAAGTTTACTTGTTCTTTCAGCAGAAAACAGCAACAATCTCTGTGTCTTTATTTTGGTAAGGTTTTTTTAGTTGTTGCCTTTTGTTTTGTAGTGATATTGGTTATGGTAGGTAATCATTGGTAATAGTCCCCTCTAAAATTTGATTTAAAAAAACTGTTAAGAGTTTATTGATTAAATTAGCTAATTAGTTTGTTCCACTGTAAGGTTCCATATCTCTCTCATTTGGTGCTCAGTGCCTAGAAATTAAATAATAAGGTCAAAGTGAGTTAGAATATGGAATTAAAAGCCAGTTCTTTGTTGTTTCATAAATGAAAATTGACTGTCATTAGAGCTGTGGGTGTTAATATTGATTTGCATTTATACTTCTTAGAAAGTGTCAGGCAGAATAAACAGGTGACAGGATATTGGAAATAAAGAATAATTAATTCCCTTCAGTATTTGTTTGTAGCTTTCTCACCATTTACAAAGCTAGCAACCACAATTCTCCCAATTTATAGCTAAAACCAGCTTAACCTAGTAGATACCACATACCTGTTAACATGGTAACAGTTCTGTTTTCTTGTTTGGGGTTTTGGTGTGTTGTGTGTGTGTTTTTGTTTTGTTTTGTTTCCCATTGGTTTTCCGCATCAACTTTTTTTTTTCTTTCTTTTTAGTGTGGGGTTTTGTTTGGTTTGGTTTTTGGTTTTTGAGATGGGGGGGGTCCTCTTTTTTATTTTTGGTGTCAGAGATTGAAGTCAGGACCTTGTGCTTGCGAGACAGGCGGTGGAACCACTGAGCTAAATCCCCAACTGGAGATGGGGTCTGTTTGGGTACAAGTAATCCTCCCACCTCAGCCTCCTGAGTAGCCAGGACTGTAGCCTCACAAACTATAGCTAGCAGCAGTTACTCTCTGAAGTGATAAGGTGATGATTAATGTTGAATTATTCTTTCTTAGGATCCAATTCTTCGAAGGTCTGGAATGTATACTGTGGCCATGGCTTACTGTGGCTCTGGTAACAACAAAGCTATTCGACGCTTGCTACATGTTGCCGTAAGTTACCTGAACCTTCTTTTTGATGGGGTAGAAGGGAAATTTTGCAGGTGGATAATGAATACCTAGGTGACTGCAGATACAAAAGCACATGAACACCATCATGGTCTCAACTTCATGGTCTCATTTACTGAAAACAATAGTCCATAACACAGCCCTAGGTTTACAAAAGGAGCTCAGGCAGGGTCATAGTATGCCAGTATACATGGATGTCTTTTTTTTTTTTTTTTTTACTGGTACATTTTAGGTATGCAGTACACTTAAATTCAACATTGGGATTTTATACCTTTACATGATGTATCTTGGTTCATATTTTTTCTCCATTCCCCTGCCCTCCCTTCACTCCTCCACCCTTCCCTATTTGTTTCCTTTTTGTTTTGGTTTTTGTTGATGTTGTTGTTTGTTTGTTTGTTTGTTTTTGTTTTGTGAGACAGGGTCTCACTATGTCTCACTATGTAGTTGAGTCTGACCTGGAACTCACTACGTAGCCCAGGCTGGTCTGAAACTCACAGCGATCCTCCTGCCTCAGCCTCCCGAGTGCTGGGATTATAGGCGTGCATTGCCACACCCAGCTTTTTGATTCCATTTTAAATGGATGCCTTTAATGGCATATAAGTACAATTTCTAAAACCCCACTCCAAAGGATACCCTCATTTGTGAGAAGCAAGACCGTGTGAGAAAGTAATCATCCTAGGGTAGGGAATCTAATGAACAGGAACCACTTCTTTTCGCAGCCCATGAAATAAGCTTTCAGGGACCCTCCAGGAGACATTCTATTACAAGAGATGCTGCCTAGGAAAGACACTGCCCATGTTCTCCAGCTGGACTTCTCCATAGTTCTCTCAATTCAGACACAGTTTACTAAAAGTAAATAATACTCCCTGGTCATACAGTGGACTTTTCACATATGACCTGTCTTAGTGGGTTTCTATTGCCATGGTGCTGGAGTGGGTAAAACACAGGGTCACTGTCCTTTGCAGAAATGTTTAAACTGTTACTTATCCCTTCTTTTCAGAGATAATCATACCTTACAAAATTTATTTGTAATACCCTTTATGAATGCAATATGTGTTAAGCCCTAAGCATTTGGATTTTGCTTGAACTTAGGACATATTTAAAACACTATAAGAACCTAAAATGATTAGGTTCTTAGTATAACCCAGAAAAGGTATTCTGCAGCTGAGAAATTATGCTGCGCCTTTTATTTTATTTTATTTTATTTGTTGAAAGAGATAAAATTATACTTTAAAAAATAAAGTAAACTTACAAACTAAAAGCCAGGAACAAAAAGAATAAGTTAGTACTTTTTCCTGAGGGAGATCTAATTAGCCTTAGAATGGACTTTCTCTTTCCTAGTTTTTGTGAAGTAAAAATTACTTTTCCTATTTCTCAATTGAATTTTTTGAGGATGGGTAGCAGGGATCGAACTTGGGACCTTGTACTTGCAAGGCAGGCAGTGGCACCACTGAGCTAAATCCCGGCCTACTTTTCCTATTTCTAAGGCATCAAAAAGTACTCAAGGGTTGTTGAGGTAGAAAGTTTTAGCTCTCTAATGGGCATTAAGAAACATTAAATTAGGGCCGAGGGCTGGGGATTTAGCTTAGTGGTTCTGCTGCCTGCCTCTCAAGCTGAAGGGCCTGAGTTCGATCCCTGGTACCAAACATCAAAAGCAGCTGTAATTAATTTTTTACCTCTTATTATCAAATAGTCATAGATTTACATAAACTTGAGAATTTTACATTCATGACCTAAATTTTAAAAATCTCTTTATATTTTAGGAGAGTCTTTTTAGGTCTTTTTTTTGAAACAAGGTCTCATTATATAGTTCAGGCTGGCCTTGAGGTCAGGGTGATTGTCAGCCTCCCTAAGTACTGGGCCTACAGGCATGCACCACTAGGGCTGGCAAAGTCTTAGTAGCTCTTAGTGAGCTACCAACAACTGAATGGTGCCAGATACAAGAAGAGCTGCTCTGCTCTGCTGTCACTGTTTGCAGCATACGCCAGTGAAAAAGGGACCTGTCCCCGATGCAGCTAGCAATTCATACTACAGCCTAATCGCTAAACCACCAGGGACCCCTGAATTGTTACTGGAAACCTCTGCATTAGGCGCTGATCTCCTGCCCAGTGTCTGACGCAAGCCTGAGGAAGCAAGAAAGAGCATTAAAAGACAGAAAGCAGGGCACTAGGACAACCAGGGCCTGTGCAACCAACAAAGATGCTGGTCCGTCCAAGGCACTCATTTTTATTAGTAATTTGGGGTAAATTCAAGCTACATGCAAGTGCGAGGATGCACAGTTGTGGTTTCTATGGAAATTTTTGTAAGCAAGTCTCAAAATACAAGACAAAGCGTTCTCACTTAGAAACAGAGTAGCCATAATATATGGTTGTAATTAGAACTTTGTTCTAGTAAGAAGGTTTTAATTGTGGGAGCAGAATTTGAGTGGGAGTTACTCTGACCTCAACATGTAGCCTTTGGCTGGACTCGCTTCTTAAAATAAGCGAATTGTGGGGTTAACTCTGCAGCCTGCACTGCTTACAGCCTGCTTTGGGCATAATCAATATTGCTGTCTCCCACATCAAACCACTGGACCTGCATGCAAAATAGATTAAATCCTAATGGTTCATAAATTACACACCGGGCTGGGAATTTAGCTCAGTGGTTCCCCTGCCTGCCTTGCAATCACAAGGTCCCAAGTTCAATCCCCATACCAAAAAAACAAAACAAAACAAAACAAAATAGAATGACATAAATCACACACCCACAACAAAAGTTACAGCAGTCACTGTACAATTCCCAAAGCTCTAAAACTTCTTCCTGACACTTGATTTCTCTTAATTTTGTCTTGATAAATCTACCAAACTAAAAACTTTTCATTTTTGTTTTGGTACCAGGGATTGAACTCAGGATCTTGGGCTTGAGAGGCAGGCAGTGGAACACTGAAAAAAACTTTGCATTCTTAATCTTTAAAGTAGTCAAGACAATGGTTAACAATTTTGTCCTATTCATGATTGCTTGCTTATTCTAAATTTTTATTTGCAAGGCAATAGGAAAGCTTGAATAATTTTTCTCAAACTCCAATCTTAATGTTTTGATTTGAAATATTGAGCACTCACTCCTGATGATTTCTTGCGGCTTCTTTTTCATGACAATCAATTCATATCATTGGTGTTGCCCTAAATCTTAAGCTTCACCAGTTTTAAAGGCTTATAAGTATCCTTGAAGTGAAATTCTCATGATGTCTTCTAAAGTGAGAAAGACTTTTTAAAATACATGTGGTGGCACACGCCTGTAATCCCAGCACTCAGGAGGCTGAGGCAGGACCATCACTGTGAGTTCGAGACCAGCCTGGGCTACATAATGAGTTCCAGGTCAGTCTCAACTACATAGTGAGACCCTGTCTCAAAAAAACAAAACAAAACATAAAAGTCATTTAAATATTTATTTATTGTGTGTATTTGAGGTGTGCAACTTTTCGATGTACACAGGGAAAAGATACTCTGATGAAGGAATGACAGCTAATTTACATTAAATGTTGGTTGCCTTGTATCAGTTTAGGAATAGAGCACTGTCTTGATAGTCTCATTTTCCACTTCTCTTCCTAGGTCAGCGATGTTAATGACGATGTGAGGAGGGCAGCAGTCGAATCACTTGGCTTCATTCTATTCAGGTAATAATTTCTAACTTCACATCCTGTTTATGTTCCATTTCTTTTTGTGGTCAGCTAAGCAGAAACTAAACATCTGAGGAATATATCTAGGTTCGGAGTGTGGATCTTTGACAATAAGTCCTGTTCATCTGAAAAAGAACAAAGAATGCTATGGTTTCTGAGAATGTATTTGCAAAGAAGCAAAACTGTTTTCTGGTCAATTTCCGTAACATTCTGCTGATTTAATTTTGTAAATTCAAAGAAGACCTCTAGTATTTCTTTTGTATGTTAAGATGTTATGTGTTACACAAGTTTATATTGTTCTTAAAGCTCTTTAATGAAAATAAAAGGTAATAGGCCTTGCTTAAATGCAAAAACATGAAATTTTTGCAAATTAAAAAATTATTTTGGATCTGGGTGTGGTGGCGCACGCCTGTAATCCCAGCACTCCAGAGGCTGAGGCAGGAGGATCTCTGTGAGTTCGAGATCAGTCTGGGCTACACATGAGTTCCAGGTCAGTCTCAACTACATAGTGAGACCCTGTCTCCAAAAAAAAAAAAAAATTATTTTGGACTTGGGGATGCATATATGGTCTTGACAGTATAATGTAGTTGCATTTAAGGAGGCACACTAAACCATTCTGCCTGGGTTGACTCTTGACTCAGCCTCTAGTCTCAGTTCCTTCATGTGTAAAATGGGGATAATAGTACATATTAGAGAATATTGGCTTTTGGGTTTGTTTTTTTGTTGTTGTTTTTTGGTATCCATATTTGAACTCGGGTCCTTGAGCTTGTGAGGCAAGTAGTGGAACCATTGAGCTAAATCCCTGGCTGAATATTGGTATTTTTAACTGACCATAGTGTTCTGTTTCTTGTTTCTTTGGTACTGGGGATTGAACTCAGGTCTTTGCGCTTGCGAGACAGGCAGCATATATAGTGTCTGGCACTCGTAAACTACTTAGATATGTGTTAGTGAGAATTGTAATAGTCATAGTTGTGGTGTTGGTGGTGATAAATGTAGGAGTTTTTGTTACTATCTGCTTAGCTCGTCTCAAACATCATTGTTTCTTTGGGTAAAGTACTTTATTTAAAAGTCCAGCGAAGGATGGTTCAGAATACTTACTTATCCCTTTTTGGACCTGGCCCTGTAGTTTAGATCAGTCCCGAGGGTACACCTAGATGAGTCAGGTGTCACAGTGGCCTTTCTTCCTCACGTTTCCTGGGAGTGAAACTTTGTGTAAAAGACTTCGATATACTCAACATAAATTTGTGAAAACCCACTGTGAACCAGATGTGGGACCCTCTCCATGACATCTCAGATAGGCAATCACCCATTTGCTGAAAACTGTGATGTTTTTTTTTCTATTATGGAGAAAAGATGGAATGAAACAATAAAAAATGGTTAGAGGTGTAGCCCAGTTTAACCTGCATGAGACCATGGATTCCATCTGCAGCACCACAAACAAAAACAAAAAATAAGCCAGGTGTAGTGACATGCACCTGTAATTCCAGTACTCTTAGCCTGAGGCAGGAGGATCAAACCTTCAAAGCCAGCCTGGGCAACTTGGTGATTTCTGTCTCAAAAAGAGTAGGGAATCCAGCTAATAGCATGCTAACAGGGTTCTTGTTTATGCCTGTTTTCTTCAGTGAGGTTTATCAATCAAATACTAATCTCACTGTTACCCTTTTTCTTTTCTTTTTTTTTTTTGGTTTGTTTTTTGAGACAGTCTCACTGAGTAGTTGAGGCTGGCCTTGAACTCACTGTGTCACTCAGGCTGGCCTCAAATTTGCAGCAATCCTCCTTTCTCGGCCTCCAGAGTGCTGGGATTATAGGCGTGCACCACCATACCCAGCCTGTTACCTTCTTCATTTGTCCAGTTTATTCCCCAGAATACCAGAGAACCCTCACTGATTACTCTCAATATATTTACCCAGCTCTGGTCCTGTACCTCAGATAATAGGATTAGTTTGGTGTGAGGTTTTCTTATGTGTCACTTTTCACAGAATGTCAGGTGTTCATTGTTACCTCTTCTAATGGCTGACAAAAAGTATGTATCTAAAGCTATTCCTGATATTTTCCAAATTTATACAACAGATTCCACACTTGTAATTTCTTGAATCCTGTCATTTTTTTTTTTTTACATTTGAATAGTTGAGCATTTATAGTTTTTTTGTGTCTTTACCATTTTCTGTTCTTCCTCTAAGATTTGCCATTGGAGTTCCATAAATACATTGTTTCAGGGAGGTGATTCACTTAATTTTGAAATTTGAAATCTAAGACAAGCAGTCTCCTCACCTGCTTTACGTTTTAATAAGTCTTATCTTTCTGGTATAAAATCATGTTCCTTGAGTGAAAAGATGGAAGCAAAATAGAAGCTGAGTAGTTCTGTTCCCTTCCTATCATCTTTGACATAATATCTGTCCAAGCTGTGACCCTAACCTTCCCTAGTCTTCACAATTAAAAACAAAAATTTAAAAAATGGTTTGTCCTTGCCATCCCAAAAGGGGCTTTTTTTTTAAAGACAAAGTCTCTCTATTTAGTTCAATTTCCCCTTGAATTCACTATGTAGCCCAATGAACCTTGAACTGGCTAGGTCCTCCTGCCTCAGCCTCCTAAGTAGTTGGGATTGTGTGTGCCACCATACCTGGCTATGCTCATTTTTTTAAGATAAGGAAAGGAAATTCCAGAATGGTTAACAAAGTTTCCATTGTCATGAAGCTAGATTTTACACAGTTGCATGATATACTGGGTTTTCTCCACCATGCCTTTCCATCAGAGCTGTATTTTCTTTAAGAACTCTGATAGAACATTTTTATTGTCAAATTTCCTCATCACTAACTTTAATATTTGGGAAGAGTCTGTCTCGCTTTCTAAGTCTACTACGTGTTTTTTAAGACTGCTACCTGATATGACTTCATGTACTTTCTCAGTGTGTGTTCCATTTTACCCCATCCCCACCCGCTACCCCGATGGATATCTTTTTGTTTGTTTGTTTGTTTTGTTTTTTTTGAAACAGGGTCTCACTATGTAGTTGAGTCTGACCTGGAACTCATTGTGTAGCCCAGGCTGGTCTCGAACTCCCAGTGATCCTCCTGCCTCAGCCTCCTGAGTGCTGGGATTACAGGCGTGCGCCATCACGCCCGGCTGGATATCACTTTTAAAGTGACTTTGAAGGCATTTGGCCTTGTACAAATTTGAAGGATTTATTTCTTAATTTTTAAAAACTAATTTTTAGGTTATGCTTATTAGACAAACCTGTTAAGTAAACATTTATTTGTATTTGTCATCCAAGATAAAATTGTCTTTGTGTAAAATTCTCACCTGTATTACTGTGATATCCTTTATTCATAAGACAGTCCATGGAGTTGTAGTATTTTTCAGTATTTCTTTCACAAGATACTTGTGAATTGCTATTTGTTCACAATGAGTATGATAAAAGTAAAAAATGTAATGGAAAACTCTCTTGCTAATTTGAAATGAACCTAATACATTAATTTTTATCTAAATAAATCACCCATAGGGGAATGCCTAGTAGATAAGTGATTTTGTATCAGTCTGGTCAGCAGATTTTACTATTCTTTGTATAGTACTGTGCTTGGCATTAAAACTGAAACGTATTTGTTTTTGTTTTTGTTGTTTTTGGTACTGGGAATAGAACTCAGGACCTTCTGTTTGTGAGGCAGGCGGTGGCACCACTGAGCTAAATCCCTGGCCAACTGGAAATTTATTTGGAAATTTAATAGAATCTAATTGCTTTAGGCTTAGGCAGGCTATTAGAATATGAAATGAAATATTTTTCAATGTGTATATTCATGTGCTTTCAGATATAGGTGGATCTTGTAAGATGAGTGAGAAATACTTGGTACAAAATTTTTAGACCATTCATTGATTCCTTGAATATAAAAATTTTGCATCTTCATAATCTTTGTATTTTGAAGGAACCGTAGCTGTCATCCACTTACCATGAAATGCATGATTCATTTTTACAATATCTCTTATTTATCAAAGAGGTAAAATATTGGGAATATGTTATACTTTTTATAGAAATGGTTGATAATGGATTTGTATTTCATTTTGTAGACTATAAGTACTAGAATGATCTCATGAACTATAGAAAAATCTCTCAATTGACTGTGAGCAAGGATTTTTAAAAAAGATTTGAAGCAAAGTAGATTACAGGTATTATAGCTAATTTTGTAGGTACACATATTTAAGCACATACACAAATTTGAAAGAATACAGAGCATGTGGATAGTTCATCTGATATAGATCATCCATGGGTAGAGCTTTGCCAGTGGCATTGTCAACTGTACTATTTAGATTTCCTGAAAGAATTATGTGTGCCTTCAGATACATAAAACACAGAACTGCCAAACTCATCATACTAGATCCTTGAACCAAGATAAAGAAGTATTTTTAGTTTTTCTTCCCTTTTTTTAAAGGAACATAAGTTATTTGCTTCTTATTTAGATAACCTGTTCTTTTTGGGGGGGATCGAATTCAGGCCTTGCGCTTGCAAGGCAGGCAGCGGGACCACTGAGCTAAATTCTGGCCCCTAGATAACCCGTTCTTAAGTTGCTGAAGCTGGGCATGGCACCACACTCCTGTAATCCCAGCACTTAGGAGGCTAAGGCAGGATGATCACCACAAGTTTGAGGCCACCATGGGCTACATAGTGAGTTCAAGACCAGCCTGTACATAGCAAGATCCTGTCTCAAAAAACAAAAACAAAAACATACTGCTGAAAATTTTAGACCAGTAGAGAAAAGTACCTAAACTTTGGTGATTTAGGCATTTAATTTCTAGAATATACTTTTCCTAGCAGATGATAAAAAACCCATAAGTAAGGATAACAGACTGGAATCTGTATTGGATCCATGTTATAGGAAAGGATTCTGGTGTTGGGAGAATATATTCCTCCTCCATTTAAGCGGATACACTCCATAGCCAACAGTTCTTTTTGTTTGTTTGTTTCTGTTTTTTTGTTTGTTTTTTTTGAGACAGGGTCTCACTATGTAGTTGAGATTGACCTGAAACTGACTGTGTAGTAGCCCAGGCTGGTCTCGAACTCCCAGCGATCCTCCTGCCTCAGCCTCCTGAGTGCTGGAATCATAGGCGTGTGCTACCACACCCGGTTGCCAACACAGTTCTTGAGGCAATTCCCTAAACTCAGCTACCTAGAAAGGGTCAGTCAGTGACAGAGCAAAAGACTGAAGCGTAAGTATGGGTCAACTTTAAATGTAAAGCTAAGGTATGACCTGTTCTCTTGACTGAACCCCTCAGCTTAAATTTGTTTACCACTTACAGGAGTAGCATTTAATAAAAACAAAATAAGTAGACAGACTTACTGAGTACGTACTGTGTATTTGTTGTACCTCATAAAAACTGCACAAAATGTAGATGAGAAAACAGGCTCAGAGAAATTAAGTATCATTTGCTAATTCATCAGCTTTCTATTAAATGGCACAGATTGGACTTATTTCCAGATCTAACAGTACAAAATAAAAAATAAAAGGGTGAATGAAAAATTAGGTGCCAATTCAACTGAGTCACTGAACAAAGACAGGCAACCATGGACTGTTTAAGAGATCGCTTACTGTTGAGGTCCCATGCATCTAGCTTGGTCACATCTATTAGTACCTACAAGGAACAGGATTTGCATTCTCAAGAGCAAATTTCATTTGCTTCCTTCTTGTCTAGTAGACCCCTCTGCTGATTAGATGCCTGGTTGTAGTCGGTTAACAAACAGTTCTAGTTATATGATCCTATTGCATGGGATATCTGGCTACTGTTCTGTTCCTTTTATCAAGACAGTGTCCTGAGTGAAAGAAAATTATGACTCTGTTTAAATAAACCTGGCTGTAAATGGCTGTCTTAATTCTCTTCCAGATGTGATCGTTGTTTTGTGCATTTAATGTTTAGTTCTTGTTCCAGTCACTTGTTCGTGTCTTAAACACTTTCATGTCTTGAAGACAAGGCTAATGCTTGCTTATTTTATTTCATTTTTAGCATAACTTTGCATGTAATTAGGAACTAAATAAACTTTATGAAATTGATTTTTATAAGCCTGAAATTTATTGGCTAATTTTATTTCATTTGAAAACCATAACATTTAACCTGAGTGCTGGGTTCCTTTTGTTAGTAACTGTACAAAATTATTTTTTCATGGAATAATTTTGTCCAAATAGGAAGATTGGATAATCATATTGTTTAACTCTTAGTTTGAAGAGATGATTTGACATGGTACCTAAAATTCTTCTTTACGTATTCTTGATGCACCTGGAATCTTGTTCATCAGCTTAGTTAGACAAAAACTGTCCCAGTTGTGCTAGACATAACTGGCTTGATCTTCAGTTTTGTCACCTTCATTTTCAGTGAGGAGAAGTGTATCTAGTAGGATGACTGCTGAAGACTGAATGTTTGAGTTTTGGAGCCTCTTTGGACTCTGGTACATGGCAGAATTAATCCCATTTTGCATTCCGTGTTTTGTGAAAAATTTGGAGTTCTCTGCCATCGGATTTCGGAAGTAGATCTTACTGGAGCATTTTCTTAGAGTTTTTACTGACTTTGTAGCCTGGTAATTGCAGGTGATGTATCGGCCAAATGCATCCCGAAATGTCTTGTTGAAGAGGGTGTAGACCAAAGGATTCACCCCTGAGGAAATGTAGCCTATCCACACAAAAATCTCCAGGAGTGTTTTGAGAGTAGTCTGGTTGCAGGAATCACACAAAGCTAAAGTTATATTTGTAATGAAAAAGGGGCACCACATAAGCAGAAAGAGGAAGAATACAATTCCAAGGACCTTTGAGGCCCTCTGTTCATTGGAAATGGTTTGCACAGACTTTTTTCCAATTTTGGATGTTCGTCGCATAAGGGTTTCATCACTTGAATTGGACAGAGTTTTGTCCTTGTGAGAACCATCCAGCATTGCTGCCTTTTCAGGTGATGAGGCAGGAGTTTCGTCTCTTTGGAAAACTGTGGAAACATTCAGCCACATGAGGCGTTGCGGCACCTTGTTTTTCACCAAGTAAGCTTTCTTCCGTAGAGCATGGATAGTGAGAAAGTAGGTGGCAATCATGATTGTGAGAGGTGTGAAGAAGGCAGCCAGAGAGCCAAAAAGCATGAAATTGCCAAAACGCTCCTTTGTCACCTCACAGGTGAGATTACGTGTGTTAGGCACATCGGTATCTATCCCTTTAATAGGGACTGGAATGGCAATGCCTAAGGAAAAGGAAACAAGATAAATTGAGTCACGTTAGGACCTACAACTGTCAGGTTTGGCCCTTTCCAAATTTTTTTTCTGGGAACTTTGTGCTCGTAGTGCATTGTGGTTCCTGGGACCTGCAGTGGAGAACGTTACCAGGCATTTTCAATGGGACCTCTGACAAGGAGAGCCTAGGTATGCACATCTCCCGTATTTAAAGAAATTGGTTAGCTGGGGATTTAGCTCAGTGGTTCCGCCACCTGCCTCACAGGGTCAAGGTCCTGAGTTAGATCCCTGGTACCAAAAAATAATCAATCAATCAATAGATAGATACGTCAGTGTAGTAATAACAAACCTTTGAGAGCTTTCAGTGGTAACAGCCAGCAAGCTGCAGCACACATGCCATAGGTTCACTGCCATTGTTGTAATAACAGCTTCTCTATGCCTATACAGTATTGCAATATGTCCACAGTAGAGTAGGAACTGTCTCCATTTGTTCTGTTTTTCATAAGCTGTTTTTGATTTTTGAGCTATCCCAAGTTAGGAAAAGGAATTCAGAAAAGAAGCTGACTATCTTTTTTTTTTGATACCAGGGGTCAAACTTGGGTGCTTGTCCTTGCAAGGCAGGCACTGGAGCCACTGAACTAAATCCCCAGACCCTGCTTTTATCTTAATACCCAGTGGTTGATCTAGAGAGACCTCAGAGTACAGTCTTTGTCTTAATTTTCACCATTTTATTAATTATTCGTGAGTTTGTACAGTTTAAGTTTCATCTTTTGATAAAGGTCTTTTTAAACCTTTAACTTTTTAGGGAAATCTAAAGGATTTTCTTTTTAAAATGCTACTTAATTTTTTTATGATTTCGTTCTAATATGAATGCAGTGTATGTCCTTCAAATTTTTTAATACTTTAAATACCATGAAATAGATATTTTTAAATATAGCGTTACATAGTGAAGTATGTAGCTTACTAGAATGAGTAACAGGGTTAAAGTGAATCTTTTCCCTTTAAAGCAAGAGATATTTCATAAATGTCTGAATGAGCTGATCTTTTGCTTTATACTGTGTTATGAATCCAAAGGCACTGTATTGTTTGCACAGCCTTGTCATGGTAGCTAAAGAGGGCCTTTGACAAGAACATTTCCCTCAAACTTTTCCTAGTGGAGGCCAATACTATTTCTGCTTTTCTCGTGTTCACCAACCGAAAGAAGATTCTGTCCACTTATTCTTCACTAGGGGTCAGCATACTACTGCTTGAGCCCCAAATCTGGCTCACATTGTGTTTTTTTTTAAGTTTTACTTCACACCCTTGCAGTAGTGTTTTGTCTATGGCTATTTTTGTTCTACTAGAGTTGAGAATGTGACTGAAACTATGTGGAACCTGTGAACATAAAGGTTTTACTTTGAGCTATCCCAGGTTAAGGAAAAGGAATTCAGAAAAAAAAACTTTTTTTTTTTTTTTTGGTTTTCAGTTTTGAACTCGGGACTTTGCGCTTACAAGGCAGGTGGTGGAACCACTGAACTAAATCCCTAGCCCAAGTATTTACTTTCTTGATCTTTGCAGCAAAAGATTGTTGATCCCTGCCCTATTCTGTTAATTCCAGGTCATGGTTGTTATTTCTAGCTCCAGATACTTTTCTTTTCTTTTTTGGTATTGGCAGTTGAACTTAGGACCTTGTGCTTTTGAAGCAGGCAGCAGAACCACAGCTAAATCTCCAGCCCATTGAGGTCTATTTAATGTACTCGTGCTGCTTTTTTTCTTTCCATCTGCTCGTCTGTTAGCCTCTAGGACATTTCTCCAACTCTCAGTGGTCTCAGTCTTCCTCTCTCCTGTCCCATTGCTGTCATGGTCCATGACTTCATCCCATTGATGGCCCTTCCGATACCTTAATTTTATATGTCTTGAACTCTTTCATTATTTGTATTCCTGAAGCCATCCCTAAGTCCACTTAAAATGATCCTGTATCAGAGATCATGATCTTGCCTTTCTTGTCCTGCTGCTCTTGGTTGCTAGAGAGTTTCTCTTTACTGTCATCTTGACCCTTTAGTCCGTCTGTCCATCTCTGTATTCATGTTTCAATGACAGGCTCCCATTGCCTTCCTGTGTAGTTATTGGACAGTACTTTTGAGTTTTCACTGATACTTTTTATACCCTCACCCTGTTGTTTTTATGCTTACTGTTGCCTAGGTGTCTTAGTTCATTTTATGCTGCTACCACAGAATACCACAGACCAGACAATTTATAATGAACAGAATTTTATTTGGCTCACAGTTCTGGAGACTAGGAAATCCAAGATCCAGAGACTGCACCTGGTAAGGGCCTATTTCTGCATCATAACAGGACAGAAGGTATCACACAAGAGAGATTAGGAGAGGGGGCCAAACTCGTCCTTTGTAAGGATGAACCTGCTCCTCAGTAAGGCTTTAATCCTTTCCTGAGTGCAAAGCCCTTCTGACCTCCTCATTTAGAACTCTCTCCTCTGCACTGTTGCGCATGTATCTACCTTTAGTCTGTATTTATATTGAAATGTTGCCTTCCTAGATGAATATATAAACTTTGAAACAAAATGTTTGGTTTTTTTCCTATTTATCTTCTTATATGATTTAAACATGTGAGCTTTGAGGGCCACCTTTCAGCCACAGCACTAGGATAACTTAGTTCAAAAGAAGAAAGTGAGCTCTCCCGCATTTTATAGAAGTTTGAAACGAAACTTAATCCTGTCATGTGTGGTTTGTCCTACACAAGGTACTAGATTATGAGGTAAAAGAGTTTAGTCTGGATTTAGCCTAGGGGGTAAAAAGTTGTTAGCATCTTAAGCCAACTATCCAGAAATCTCTAGGACTGTTTTTTTCATCTATGAAAAAGATTCCTTCTAAATCTTTAAATCTGGAGTCTTCCTTTTGGTCCTACATATATGACCACTTTAGCAATGTAGTTTATTTATCTACTTTCTTTGAGTGCAGAGATTTTTTTTTATTTGTTCATATATCCTCTAGCACATTATAGATACTCAATAAAAATTTGATCTATTTATAGATCCATGCTATCCAGGCTTAGCTACTTCTGGCCAATAGACTATTATATTAGATTTACTATATTTCACAATTCCAAATGTTTCAATTCTTTTTTTTGAGGGGGAGGTTTGAGACAGGGTCTCATTATGTAGTCGAGACTGCCCTGGAACTCATTGTGTAGCCCAGGCTGGTCTCGAACTCCCAGCAGTCCTCCTGCCTCAGCCTCCCAAGTGTGCCACCATGCCTGGCTTTTTTTTCTCAAAATCCAAATGTTTCAATTCTTAAGGATCCATTTCTCCTATTTTCTCCCTGCCTGTTCCGCTCACCACATGCCAACACACCTTGCACTCTTCCCTTCACTGCAGTGAGCTTTCCAAACTAAATGGGTCATTTGAAATGAGTAACTTCCTTTTTTTCCTTTCTACTTCAGATTTTCTTAATTATCCTCTGTGGTCTCACATCCTCCTCCTCTAGCTTTTTTTTTTTTTTTTTTTTGTGATACCCGGGATCGAACTCAGGTCCTTGCGCTTGCGAGGCAGGCCACCGAACTGCTGAGCTATTCTCCGGCCCTCCTCTAGCTTTTTGAGAGGGCAGGGAACTGTATTGTTTTGCTTAATCGGTCAGCCCTGCCCTGTCCCTGAACTGGCCTTTTCTCTCCACTTGCCAGTCTCTTCATCCTGAGTTAGTTTTTCCTTAGCCCTTTTTCTCCCATGCTAGAGTAGAAGTAGCAGTCCTTGTTTTTACCTCCAAACTTTTCAGAGAAGTTTGGACCTAGTGCCATTTGTTTCAGGAATATAAAGGTCAACTTCAGTGTCTTTAATTTTTGCTCTTGCCTATATCCTTGCTCTGATAAAAAAGTAACATTTCTTTCTTGCCTTTCTTCTAACATTCTAGCTCTCTTACTGTTTTTGCTCTTCCAAATTTATTTTACTAGGACGAAGTGAACATGCTGGTGTGATCATTGTATTTGTTGCACATCCACTTTTACCTGATAGTAACTTAGCAGAGCTTTGAGCCATGTGCACTATATTTCATGCCACATGTACTCTAGTACAGCGCTGTCTTTGAGCATTAAAGACAAGCACAAGACCATAGCACAGTTTGGAACAAATGTGCTTTATTTTTCTATAAATAATTTCTGAACATTGGCTTAACTTTTTTTTTTTGGTACCAGAGATTGAACTCGGGTCCTTGCGCTTGCAAAGCAGGCCACCGAACCACTGAGCTAAATCCCCGGCCTGGTTTAACATTTTCTTTGCATTTATCTTAAAGCTTTTTAACATATTTAAAACATGAGAATGGACATGTATCTACCTTTAGTTTGTATACATATTGAAATGTTGCCTTCCTAGATGAATATATAAACTTTGAAACCAAATGTTTGTTTTTTTTTCCTATTTATCTTTTTATATGATTTAAAATATAGTACATTTCATTTTTTTGTTACTTCACTGTGATTGTAAATTACTTATGTGAGCTAGACCTCAATGATCTATGGGCCGATGTGAAGACTTCATCTTAGCCTCCCTGGATATCCAAATTAAGTGGGATGATCCCCATAAACACCATGGAGTTGCTCCTTTCAGAGGATATGAACTTGGCTGCTCCTTTGCAGTGCCAGCTGGTGGTATGGCTTAGATACTAGATGGTGAATATGGCATAAGTACCTTATGTGGCTACACAGTAGTTTGCCTTGCTTGACCTTGTAAGGCAGAGTTTCCTAACCTCCTGACCTGGCATTTTCCTAGCTATAAGGAACCAGAGGCTGTGTCCTCCACCCATACCTTGGCATTTTCCACATACCTATTGAAATTAACCACACCACTGTAATCTTGATGAATGCAGTAGCTCGGGAGTTATATTGATTGGCCTGGATTGGCTTTTTGATGGCTATGTAGCGATCCACTGAAATGGCACAGAGGTGTAAGATGGATGCAGTTGAAAAGAGAACATCAAGAAACAACCAGGCAGGACACAGAACAAGTGGAAGGGGCCACACAGCCTCTGAAAGAAAAAAAGGACCAGAAATATTTTCACATCTTCTCTTGCAGAATGGCAACCTTCAGTTTATAATTTAACTTCAGTTTTATGCTTTAGATCTTGGAGACAATAGTGCTAAATATGATAATTCTGTAGATCACACTTTTTACATACATGTTCCATTTTTAATAACAATTATAACACCTTTTCTAAATCAGCATTTTAGCTTTTTTTTTTTTTTTTTTTTTTTTTCAGTCGACGTCTCACTGTATAGTTCAAGACTGGCTTTGAACTTGCTGTGTGGCCCAGGTTGGCCTTGAACTCAAAGTGATCCTCCTGCCACAGCCTCCTGAGTGCTGGCATTATGGTGTGCGTCACCATACCTGGCTCATTTCAGCATTTTTAACATTATTTCACAGTGCTCTGGAAGATTTTCTGGTGAAAGTCATGTCTTAAAATCTAGATGCACCAAACTGGTGTAGGATAAGTACTCAGAATACCTCTGAATGGAACTTTTGGGAAGCCTTTCGAAACAAAAAAATAAATGTAGCAGAGAAACCTGTTTAAAGAGAATCTAAGAAGTTTTAATTTTGTCCTTCTTAGCCTTAGTAGTCAAATTTTCTTTCAGAGGTAGACAAGGTAGCAATATATTCCTTGACCTAAAGGAAATTGGTAATCTGAGCAGAGTGAAAAGAACCACCTCTGACAGAGTTTTGCAGTGGAAACTAAAGTGAGACTATATTCCAAAATGACCTGAAGTTCTAGATTTAGGACCCTAAGTAAGAGAGAAAAGTGCTGAAATCTTCTGTTGTTTTTCCATCAGAGGGTGCAGATTCAAGGCCTCAGGCATGCCACACAATTACTCAGCCTGTGAGCTGCACCCCAGCCTGTATACTCAAGTTTTGAGTTATAATCTGATATACTGATTACAGCTAATGATGAAAAAGGAGGATAATTAGTGTATTGTGTCTTTAAGCGCATGTTCTCTCTGTATCATCTTTTAAAATGGGTTGCTAATAATTTAAACATGCCTCTTCTGAAAATTAAGGTCTGGAAAATTCTAGTCATAAATCTTGCAGCCATGAGCAGGAAGCCAGAAGAAAAGTCATGTGTAAAAGTGCATATCTTTGGAATTAGACTATCGGACCCACATACTCCTTCCTGACTGAGCTAAGAGGGAAAGCATTTTAGAGCTGATTAAGTCTATGAAATCTTGTTAGCCTCTTACTTTCCAACACAGCAAATTTTATTATAAACTCCACTTTTAGAGTAGAAAGCGAGAATTACAATTAATGCGTAGCTGGGAGAGGGATCTTTAATAGTCTTTTTCATGAAGTACTAGTGAAAAATTGTTTCTGTGAAACTGACGTGTAAGTAACAGCTAATTTAATTAAATTAATTGAAACTTTTCATAAAAAGCAAAAACGGTGGAGCTCATTGTAAAGAAATATTCTCATACCCTGGCATAGTCATAGCTCAGTGGTAGAGTACTTGCCAAGGCCCTGTGTTCGATTCCTAGCACTGCAAAAAAGGCTTCTGTAATTGTCTAATAGATTCAGGTAATCTTAAGGATTACAGAAATTAAAAACAGCTCTAGACATTCTTATTTTATAAAGGGACTTTTTCTGGTTCAGATGCTTTCTCTCTAAAATTGTTTTTCAGTTAATAATTTAGTAGGTTCAAGATCAGAAATACCTGAATAAAGATGCTATGGCAAAATAGTAACTATTTAAAAACTTTTGTTTTTTGATTTGGAATTTTAGTTTTACCAATGTACAATTACATTTATTTGTTATAATGTATTATTTCCAACTAATTTCCAAAAGGAATTGGCTGTTATTTAAAATTTGAAAAAACCAAGTGATACAGTTACAGGTTGAAGCTCTTGTTTGTTTGTTTCTTTTTGTTTTTGAGACAAGGTCTCACTATGTAGTTCAGGCTACCTTGAACTCACTGTGTAGTTCAGGATGGCCTTGAACTTGAGGTGATCCTCTGGCCTCAGCCTGCCAAGTGCTGGGATTTTAGGTGTGCACCACAACACCTGGTCAAGTTTTTTTTGTTTGGTTTGGTTTGGTTTGGTACCGGGGTTCGAACTCAGGTCTTTGGCACTTGCAAGGCAAGCAATGGAACCACTGAGCTAAATCCCCAGCCCATAAATTCTAAAAAAGAAAAATATATCTGAGTGAGACTAGGAAATAAGTTCTCAGGTACGTGGACTAAATTAATCCTTCTATTCTGGGGCTCTCAGTTTGACTCATAAAAACTAAAAGAAAGAAGAAAATATTGAAATTATATGGTGTTTGTTGTCCCCTAGTAAGAAAGCATACAGAGTTTCTCTGAAAAGCAAATCCTATTTTCTGCCTGCTTCCCCACTTGCTTCCAGATTAAATTCAACAGAATTAATTTCAGTGAGATTTAAAGAATGGCACTTTTGTTTATCCCTGCAATAATTATAGGTGGAGTACATGAGAGCAAATATTAAAAGCAAAGCAGGTCTTAGATGGGCCTTGATTATTGAGTTAGTTACGTAACTAAATAATATTAGGAGCAGGAATATTTTGTTGTTTAAAGTGAAGCGGCATGCTTTAGATACCATCATACCTAGGGAGTAGTCGAACTGTCACTCCCAGAGGAGGCTCAGCCACTTCAGACATGGGTCTACACTGGGCATTCATCTCGAGGATTCAGCCAGGATTGGTTGAGAACCGAGTATTCTGTATCACTTAGTACGAAATATAACTTAAACTGAAAAAAATACAAAATTCTGCCTCCTCCCTGGGGAGAAATTTATAGCACCCTTTGTTAGACAAAGTTAAGGTACATAAATGTTGGTTCTGTATGCCAGATATGACAGTTTGACTCTATAGGTTTTCTCATTGTGTTTGAGAAAGCAGAGTAGTAGAGAAAGCAGAGGTTCAGAGTCTGAATTGTAGAATTAGTCCTCCTGGGTTCAGAAATTCTAATGCTTCCTTCATACCTCTCCCACTTCTGTTATGATCCTGGACAACAGGCAAATCTGATGTCCTTCTGTTCCTTTATCCTCTGAAATATGGGGCTGACATTACCTGATGTAGAGGACTGTGTTACAAGTTACAGATTAAGTGAGTAATTTCTGTGAAGTACTTAGAACTATGTGTATCATTGAGAAGGCACTCGATAAATGTTACTTGTATGTCCAGGCATGGTGATGCATGCCTGTAATCCCAGCACTTAGGAGGCTGAGGCAGGAGAATCGCTGCAAGTTCAAGGCCAGCCTGAACTACATAATGAGACCCTGTCTCAAAAAAAAAAAAATAAATTAAATTAGATAAATGTGAGTTGTTACCACTTATTTAACAGAACCTGGCCAACTAACCCAACCATGAGAAATGAGAAACAAGCCAAATCTTCAGTTTAAAATAAATTTGTCTTTCTGCCACAGGAGTGCAGTGCATCTTAAAGCTGTACGGTGGGAGGCATGGGAAGGAAACAGTATGTTTAACTCTTTAATTTGGAATTAAATATCATGAAACTACGTCTTCTACTAAAGTTGAATTTTAACTATTTATTACAGCACAGAAACATAAATAACCCTATGTACTATATGTGGGCAGTCCCTGGGGGCCATGCCCTGTGTGTGGTGTTATGTTTTTGTTGCTGTTTTGATTTAGTCTAAAAACCTTTTAGTTTGGAATCCAAATTGTATCATCAGAAAATAATTAACTCTCTTTTTTGGTTGTGGTACTGGGAATTGAACCCAGGGCTTCACACAAGCACTCGGTGGTAGAGCTACATCCACAGTTCCCTTCCTTTCCATTTCAAGAGAGTGTCTGACTGAGTTGACTGGGTTAGTTTCAAACTCACGATCCTGTTGCCTTGGGAGTAACTGGGATTACAAGAACACCACTATGCTGGTATAGGACTTTTTAAAAAGTCAATTCCAAGAAGAAGAAAAAAAGTCAATTCCAAGAGACATGTGCCTGAAGAATTTACAGACTGTATAGTATGTTAAGTTGTTGGAGGACAAACCTAAAATCGCCTTTGTGTTAAAAAATAAGAGTTGTCGAATACAGTGTGTGTGTGTGTGTGTGTGTGTGTGTGTGTGTGTGTGTGTGTGTGTGTATGTGTGTGTTCCTGGGGGCTGAACCCAGGGCCTCTGCACTGATCTACATCCCTGGCCATTTTTTTACTTTTTATTTTGAGGCAAGAGACTTGCTCAGTCACTAAATTGTGTGTGTTTGATTTAATCTCAGAAATTCTAATGCTTCTTTATCTTCCGGAAAGGAGAGACATAAATCAGTACTTAAATTATTTTTATAAAGCTGCTGTTTTGTTTCATTGCTGTTTTTCTACTATATCTAAGCATATAAAATATCCTGGGGTTAGATGTCTAATATGATAATGTCTTAAGTAACTTAATATTTATGAAAATTAAAATTTCTACTTTCCAAAAAAGAATTGCTTTTCTCCCTCCCGCTTCCAGAATCAAGTAGAGTAGCATTTCCTTGTATAATTGACTTTTTCACTTACTTGCTGTACATCTATTTTGTCTTTGGTTAGACTTACATCACAACTAAATTATATGTTTACTTTTCATGCTCTACCAATGTCTGCCACTTAGTACATGTAACATGTTGGGCCTTATTTGACAGCCTAGATTTAGCAGATCCATTTTACAAACAAGTTGGTAGAACTCTGATATATTAAATGATTTGCGACATCCAGAACAGAACCAAGATTCAAACCATAGGATATCTCTCCTCAAAAACCCATCTTTCAGGCCGGGGATTTAGCTCAGTGGTTCCGCCACCTACCTCACAAGCACAAGGGCCCAAGTTTGATCCCCGGTACCAAAAAAAAAGAAAAGAAAAACATCTTGCAGCCATTTTACACACTTTAAACTGTTCCAGAGATACTGTTTCAACTTACAGATCCTGAAGCATGGATTAAATAATGGGTAATCAAGTGCCATTTGTTTTCCCTTCACATTTTTAATCACTTGATGAGAGAAGGAAACGTTTCGAGTATTTTGGAGTTCTTGGGGGATTTTGTTGTTTAGTTTTTGTTTTGGTGGTACTGGGGACTGAATCCAGAGCCTTCCCAGCTACATCCCCAGCCCTTTTTTATTTTTTACTTTAAGACAAGTCCTTGCTGAGTCACTAAACTTCCTGGGCCGGGCTCCAACTTGCAATCCTCCTGCCTCAACCTCCCAGTGTGCTGGAAATACAGACGTGGGCCGCCGTGCCCTACTTGAGAAGTACGGAAGTGTACATACATCCTGTCTTTTTTTAAATCAACATTAGATGCTACATTTTTTCCTGCTCTAGTATTTCTAATGTGGAGACTTTCAGGCTTTATGTTGTAACCTGCTGAGTTGTGTTCAATGGCTTTAAGAAATTATGGACAAGAAATTAAAAGCTAGAACGATAAAGATTGAGGGCAGTGCTCCCCGATAGGAAGAAGTGGCAGAAAGCTGACCTAGCATGATTTACTGGAAAGGCTATTGTGCCAAAGTTGTCATAATCTTGGTAAAATGGAAACTCAAACAGTATATGACTAGATACTATACCAATCAGTGGCTAAATAAATATCCCCCAGTTTATGGACTATGTTTTAATTTTACTGCTCTCTTTTTTAAACTTAAAATTTTACTAGAATACTAGCTGGCATAAAGCCTCTGTTTTGCTTTCATTGAATTTCCCAAGATGGGATAGTTAAACTTTTATGATTACAGAACCAAGAACGCTTCTTTGTGAACTTCAGAAATTCTGAAGATTAGCCCCATAATTAGAGAAAAACATATTCTGCCCTTTAAAGTTATCAGAAATTCTTCTAAATACATTACTTTAGAAAGTCTTCACATTTATCAGCATGTAAAAACCTGTGCAAAAATCTTACTAAAAAGTCAGTTCGCTATTTGCAATATACACAGTGCCCAATTTATAAATATATTGGTGAAGCTTGTGGAGGGCGACACGCATCTCCTCAGACCTTTCTCACTGAAATAGACTCGTTAAATAATGAATTTATGGGCCGGGGATTTAGCTCAATGGTTCCAGTGCCTGCCTTGCAAGTGCAAGGGCTGGAGTTTGATCCCTGGTACCAAAAAAAAAAAAAGGCATTACAATGATAATGAATTCATGCAATAATGTTTTTAAAACTATGTTCCTGGGTTAGATCTTTTTTTAAATTTTACTAACCAAATTATATAGCATAATTACTGATAATAAAAATATGGCTGTGATTTTGTTTTGCAGTAATGTTTGAAAGAATGTATATCATAATAATGATATAAATAGGAAGATAATTCCACATATTTTATGCTAAAATGTTTGTCATCTACTCATTTTATTGCCAAGAATGTCTTGGGCACTAAAATTTTATATATAAATTAAAGTTTTTAGTTGTTGGAATCCATAGTATTTTCCTATAGAATATAGGAATATATTCTATATATAGAATATATGGAGCTAGTTACCTTTATAATGTCTTTTTATATCATTGGTCAGCTCACTAAGTTTATACTATTATTTAAAGTTAAAATTCACTTTTGTATAAGTCATTCAATTATTCACTGTAACATATTAGCTAAAACTTACGATCATATGAAATAAGCATTTTGTCGTTTTCTGTAAGCCTAGCGAAGCCCTGTAGAGTATGATTTAATACTTTGAGACACTATTATGAAGATAGAATTGAGAATTTGAATCTTAACGGTTGTACAGTCTTTGCCATTTACCAAATATGTATATATGTTTCTACGTAGTCCTTAACTTGCCTTATTTCTCTGTTAAGAGTAAGATTTCTTCATTTTCCGTGATTCTGTGAGCATTAGATTATTCAAAAGCTAATGCATAAAAGGAAGGAGTATTGGTAAAATGATTAGGCAATCTGATTGAAGCAGTAGACTCTCATTCATTATTGTTTGTCCTGACACAGAATTTTCTTGGTTGACTTTAAAGACTGGGTTATGTTGATTTACAATGAAAAATTTAAGCCCATCATCATCCTGTTATATTTGGGAGAACAAGTAATTTCACGTATCTTTTTGGTTTTGCTTATGAAAAGCTGAATAGAAGTTTTTCAGATTAATAAATTTGTGCATTCTAGTTTAATTAATTTTACTTCTTTACCTTAAAATGTTTATCCTCACCATATAAGTAAGTATAATTCTTATAAGCCATGTCTACTACAAATAATCATTTTTCTTAAGCAGTTTATGAGTGGAATATCAGTTTATAACAAAAATTCACTGTTAGGGCTGGGGATTTAGTTCTGTTGCCTACCTTGTAAGTGAAAGGTCCTGAGTTCGATCCCTGGTACCAAAAAAAATTTTTGACTAAGTTAAATATCTTTTTAATGCTGACTCTGAGGTAGGAGTTCTCATAATTTATCAATACAATTATTAGTATTTACCCATATGTTATTACTAGAAGTGATATGCATATATATCAGAAACTATTTTTGTATTTTTATTGTAACTGACTTCATTATCAAAGAAAATTTTTCATTATCACAATAACTCAGGTTTGGTCCACTTATTTTATTAACTTTAAGGTTTGTCAGGAACACAGATGGTCAGATAATGAAACATTTTTTCTTAATATGACACATGTTGTAGGAATTGTGTTCAAGTGCATAAACTATAAAGAGATGTAAGAATTTTTAAAACAATTCCAAATTTAAATTGGGGCTTAGCAATTTATATTCAAAGTCAGTATTTAATTATTCAAAGACCTTATCATTAATAACTAGCCCTGCACATACTTGTCCCCATAGTGTCCTAATACTGTTTCATTAAGGAAAAAGTGATAGGAAAATTAAGGCACAGATCTAATAATTACACTTTTAAAGTAATAGATATAGAATCTTTGAATATTACTAACTTGAATGGCTTTTAAAATAATTTCATTGGATGGCTGAGAAGGGAGTACAATTATTCCCAACAAATTATTTTTTGTCCTTTCAAATTGATTATTGACCATAAAAATTATGAAATGTGAGAAACGATTAGATTACCTGCTATATCTTTAAATAATTCAAGCCCATTTTCTATTTCAAAGAAAATAAAGGTTAAATGACTGTTCAGTTCTGTAATAGTATATGATACAGTTCTGTGGCTTGATAGCAGGAACAAAGTGAATACTTACCAAACATTATCGTCAAGAGCGCAATCGGCATCACAAACAATCCAACCAGCAAATCAGCCACCGCCAAAGACATAAGAAAGTAATTGGTAGCGTACTGCAGCTTTTTCTCCAGTGACACAGCCAGAATAACAAGTATGTTCCCACCGATGGTGGGTATTATCACCACAAGTATCAAAAGAGCTGCCCAGTGTGGCTTATTTCCCTGTCCCTCAACAATCTGTTTCATTTCCTCTGGTATTGATTCTTTCTGAAATCCAGACCAGTTAGAAGAGATTAAGTCGTCGAATGTACTCTGCAAAACGTGCTTGGGAATTATGCTTTGTTCAGACATTCTGTAAGAGAAAGCCATTCGCCGTTTTTCTGTGATTCACTCCAGTTCCAGTTTTCTGTGATTTCAGTCCATGGTCAGTAGCTAAGCTGGTCGTCTCTTCTTTTTAAGGCATTGTACCCAGGCCAGACATTGAAAGCCAAAGTTGACTCCTTCCTTTAAAAACAAAAAAGTTCATGGTCTCTAAAATAATAGTGTACACACATTTGTCCATATTTCTAGGTAAGACTTCTAAGTCTTAGTATTTTCTAGATTTCAGAAGGCTCAGTGAAAGAAACCAATAGCTGGGAAAAAATGAACTATTAGTTTCTCTCTTGTCTCTGCCTCTCTCGGTCCCACTCACTGGCTGTGGTTGTAGAGTTATATTTGCACTTGATGGCCAGAGTTCTCCCAGATACAAATATGTAAATTGCATTACTCATTTCCAAAAAGCAGTGAAAACACTTGAACTTAATAAGCAGCTCCTCCCTTCTTTATAAGGTCTATTGTGCATTCGACAGTACAGCCAGTTCCCACACACAGAAAGTATATTCCTCATTTGCCTCAAAATATTAATGATAAAGACACATTACTTGTTCAGTAATTATAATAAAAACTCTCCCATGCTCACTTCGTCGGCAGCACATATAATAAAAACTGTTTCCTGACTCTCGACTGTCTTTTTACTTTTAGTGTAGAAAATGTACAATATAGAAAAGACAAAGCCCTGAATAGTTTTGAACAAAATTTTTTTGGTACGTCCTGGTCACCCACCTAGGAAATCTCCTTAAGTTCTAAATAAATTATTTACGAGTATATATGTAATTGATTTGCCTGATTAGGTTTTCTTGCCAATTTAAATGCTATTTATATAATGTTTTAGAATTCCTTTACTTTGAGAAAGAAAACAAATAGCCACTGGTAGTTTCCAAATAGTTGTTTTAGTAATTTTATCTTTCATAATGTGTTTTGACAACAAATATTCCTTAAATTTAATCACTAAATCTACCAATCTTGAACCAGTTCTTTTTCATTTGTTTGTTTATTTAAGTGCTAATTTTTTACCCTTAACTTTCCACATCCTCTTTAAGAAGAAGCAGCTGGGAGGAAAATTAAACCATTTGTTTTAAATTTACAAGTCCTGTCTTTAAAATCTCTTTTAACATTATTAAATTTTTCATTTTAAGCCACTAAATAAAAATGAAAGATTATGGAAGCAGAATTCTTAAAGTTTAAAAAACCAAAACAACGCCTCCACAGGCCCTTTAGATTAGGTGCATATTTACCTGGCACTTACCTCTCATTTGCTTGTGACTTAACAGAGCATGCTATTGTCCATCCGTTCAGTGGACTCACTCACTGCCGGCTGAAGTCCTCCTCCCATTGACTAATTCGGAGCCTCCAGCTCTGCATTTGGAAGCAGTGAGACAAACGGGTTATGTAGCTATAAGCTTGCCAATGAGGTTATTCCCTCTTTGATAAATTTATTTTTAGAGAGCAGCAGCTTCATTGTAATTCATAAAACTACCACTTACGTGGTCTGGACCACATTGTGACCCTTATTCAATTTATAGTCCTAAGAGCTCTCTCTGACATTCGGGAGGACTTTAGTAAACTATTTTAGGTTAAGATCATTTTGTTTAGGATTAATGTGGGCTGTTTTTCCTACTTAAAAACAACAAGATATAAACTAGAGATTCTAGAGCTTTTATTCTATGAAGATTCCACAGTTTGTTCTATAGAAATTTCCACAGTTCTAATTTCTAGCCTTGAAACAAGATTCTCATCCAGCTTGTAGGCCTTTGCTGTAGAACACAATTAATTTGCTCTGGCTGCAACCTTATATAGAAGAGCACAGGAAGGTCTGAAGTCAAGGTCTTTTAGCAGAAGCTTTGTGGCTGCCCGTTTTTAAACAGCCTCTGGGTTTGGGAATTGACTCATTGGCAGCCTTTTCCTCTACAGATTTCACATTCAGGGAAAGTGTATGCTATGTAGGTAATAAAAACACATTTTTGCCATTTCAGAAATGTTGTGTATAAATCTTAGTAGTCATGCTGTTTTCTTTGAACTGTGAGTCTCGCTTAGTGTTGGCACACTAGCATTCTTGATGTTCGCTTTTAAAAGACGACAGATCACTAAACTTTTACTTAACTACTTCTAGGTCAGTGGTGTCATTTATGCCCCTTTTGTAGTTTGAAATTTATATTCTTTAGTTTGTGTTGAAAGTTACTCGAAAACAGTTCATATCTGTTGTACTGAGAACTTCAAGGTTTTTTTCCTTCAGTATTTTCTGCTTTTGTTTTGAACTCAGAATTTAGTATTTTAGAAAAAGTACTTTCTCAGAATTATAGAAAATGAATGAACATAATATTTAAGAGCAAGCAGATGGATTTTTATGTGATAGAATTTCTATTCAATAATATGAAAATATTAAATATTGCCTTATCCTGGGTCACAGTTTGACATCTATTTGTATAGACAGGTAGGGATCTTTAGAACAAATAAGTCAGATTGAAAATAGCAGCACCATTACATCCAATCAAAAGATTTACATGATAAAAGCCTCCATTACTTATTTTTATAGATTAAAAATTTTTTAAATATTCATTAGGTAAAAGCTGGGCGTGGTGGCATATAACTATGATCCCATTACTCAGGAGGCTGAAGCAGGAAGGCTCACCATGAGTTTGAGGCCAGCCTGGGCCATATAGTGAGTTCAAGCCCAGCCTGGACTACATAGCAAGACCTTGTCTCCAAAAATCAATGAATCATTGAGTGTTTTCTAACAGTGTCAACCATTGTTATGATGATGATGATGATGCTTTACTTGTATTGACACCTCAATTTCATTCACTCCTTTTCTTTCACTCAACTTTTTTTTTTTTTTTT